TGATTCGTGCGCGTAGCGCCCAAGGTCTTTGACCTCCAATCAATCCTTGGCTCATGGTGTTCTAACCATGCCATTTCTAGGAGGAGGCCATACATTGCATCCAAATCTAAGACTAGACAGCGTTCCACGCTGCTAATGTCAAGGAACTTGACTCCGATGTCCACAGGGGCCTTCGGGACCGTGATACGTGTCCCCGTCGCCAGGCAAAAAGTGACGGTGTCACCCAACCGCGCTTTCAGCGCCTCAGGATACAGCTGATTTCCCTCCAGAGTGGAGCGTCGAGCATAATGCCCAACGCCTCAGAATTGACGAGGATCTTTCATGGCTTCTAGAAGCCCTTCACGGTCGCCTCCACGACCAACAAGCCCGGCTTGCACACACGTTCTGTTTTAAGAGCACGGAGCTCTCCGAGGCTAGGCCCTGTTGCCCTATGTCTCCCTGAAGCTAAACAGAACTCAGTTCTTCCCCAGTAGGTCGCCCCGCACCTCTGAGTGGTGTCGTTTCCCCGCGTCGAACCAGACTGGTAGGCGTTGGGGCGTTGGTTCGAAGAACCTCGGCGCGCCTTCCGCAGGGGGCAACCGTACCAAAGGTGATGGGAGTCCCCACAGACAAAACACCGTCGTATATTTGTGTGCTGCTCGGCAGCTCGGAGCTCTGCTTCCTCGTCCACAGCATAGCTGAGATCCATGGGCTTAGGCCCGCTGGACGAGTTATTAGAGTGTGCATTCCAAGCAAGTCGTGCCAACTTGAAATTAAATTCGGCATTTAATGCCACATTCACCGCCTCTTCAAATGAAGACGAAGCACACGGAATACTTTTATTCTGGCCACGCCAGTGCGGAGGCCTTACCTAAAGACGTTCACTGTGACAGCCTGCGGAAGGGGATCTGCTGCCATCCCGGCAATGAGAGTTCGCATCTCTTGGACAAAGCCCACCAATTTTTTGTTGCCCTGACGGGCGGCAAGGAAACGCGATCACACGCGATACGCCTGATTAGGCGGCGAGAACACTCGTGGCAGCTGCAATTTCAGCTCCGCCCAGGAGAAAAAACGCAGCTCCGACCGAAGAGCCGCACGTCAGTGCCCATTCTCGCGCTCGACCACCGAGCTGTGAGATGGCTCGCGCTACGAGCTGTTGCTCGGTCTGGAGCATGGCGGATGCGATGGCCGTCTCGACCTCTCTCACCCA